GGAAGTCTGTTTTTAAGGCTTATTTACATGTCTTCTCATTTCCATGGTGGGGGGGTACTGCTGGTGCCCACGAGGCTCACCTCCTCTTTGAGCAAGGGGTGGAATGGCAGTGGTGAGCCTCCTCCTGGGAGCTGGGATTGGCTCACGAGCATACTCAATTTTAAATAGTTCTAATGTGCATTCAATATACTACATCAAAATGAATCATGATCAAACTTTTATAAGCATTTTTCTTTCCTGATTACAAAATAATTCCTTTGTGTAGAAAACTTGGAAAATAGTACTTTTTTTTTGGTGGAGCTGGGATCAAACCCATGACCTTGGGCATACTAGGCAAAGGCTCTACCACTGAGCTACACTTCCAGCCCTCAAAAAATGTTGTTCTTTTTATATTAAAAAAACCCCTGCATCTTCTTTAAAATGGAGTACTACTCAGCCATAAAGAATGAGAAACTGGAGACATTTATAGCTAAGTGGATGCACATTGAGGCCATACTCTTAAGTGAAATAAATAGGACACATATGTGTAAATACCAAATAGTTTCTCTGGTGTGAAAAACTAAAAGTGTAAATAAGAATCAAAATGTATAATTGATATTGTGAAATAGAAAGAAAAGGTCTAAAGAAATAGGGGAAGTGGGAGAAGAAGGGGAAAGGAAAGAAGGAAAAAGAAAAAAATATGAGAAAAGGCAAAACATGGAAATGAAGTCTTTGTAAATAAGGAAGGGTAGAGGGGGTGAAAGGAGGGCAGGGGAATGGGGAAAAAATAAGAACCAAGATATATCATATAAAGATACAAGATCCCAGTGATGAATGTAACTGTATTGTATACCTAAAATGTACCAATAAACTAAATGGAAAAAAAAAATGTTACTCTTCATTGAAGACATGAAATGATATATGTATTACAATGTACTGCTTATTTTATTTCTATATAATTTCCAAGATAAAGAAATATAAGCAGGATCAAAACAAGGGAAAGCATATAAGCACATTATTCAGCATAAAAAAATTCAAAGACTCTTTCTTACCTCAAGTATGGGACACATAACTTCTGCTGTGACATCACCATGATTCTTACAGAATTTATAGAATGATTCAAGGTAAGACTTAAAAAGAAAGATCATAAAACAATAAATGAGCATATTTTCCTTTTGAAATTTTCTAGGTCATCTTTTCATGGCCTATGAAATTCTTCAATGGAAATTGAATTATTTTTCCCATAGAGAGATATTTGATAATGAATTTGGTAGAAATTTTCACATTGCAGCATGTTGCACAGACTAAAAAAGAACTCCATAAAAGAACAAAACTGCACTTATCATAGCTTATAATTACTTATGCATTTTTTTCACATGGTTCTTGGATTATTTCACATGGTTAATTCTGGCTATTCTAACAAGAGTGCCAAGTTCTTTTCTGAGCTCAGTGAATGATTTTAGCGGTCTTCTGCTGACATTTAAACTCACAGAGGCACTTTAGAAATGGCTTTGAGTGTGGGGCTATATTGGAAAGGCAGCATCTGGGCTGTAGTATCAGACTGCCTGTGTTTGAATCTCAACTCTAATACTTACTAGCCAGTGGACTTCTGAAAGGAATCCTTACCCCTCCATGTATCAGTTTTTCTTATCTGAGGAATGGGTATAGCATAAATCTTATAGTTTTGCTAGTAGATTAATGGAATCAAGGCCTGTATATTGCTCAGAAGAGTGCCTTCTGTTAGTTATATCTTTGATGTCTCCTCAAAGCCCATATGTCACTTTCTAAAAATAATTGCCTATCATACAATGCTTTTGAGAGAACCGCATATTTCACTATAGCATCCTATACATATACGTATATATCATATATTATATATAATATACATGGCACAATAATATATATTCATTTACTCTGTGAGAGTGCCCAAAGGCACTATGGTTGTATGGGCAGATTTTGCTCAACCTAGAATACACAGGGCCACTCTAATGGCAGCCCGGTCCAGTCATATTATGAGAAGTGGTGTGTCTGATGCAATGTCCACCAGCTGGTCATTCTGGTATACTGCACACAGTAGTTTAAAATTCTGTGGGAAGGTTAATTGTGAGATTTGGGGGCTCTATAACCAGATCAGTGACAGAGGTGGTCGCTATAAAATGGAAGACTTAATATGCATGGTGGTTGCTTTGAGTAGGTTCATATGGGTCACCTTACTCATTTATCCAGCCACCTAGTACCATCCAGTCAACACTTTTTATGTTCTGGGCACTGTACAAGGAGCTAAGAATACAGTAGAGTATGCTATTTCTTCTCAAAAATGTTGCTGGCTGGGGAAAATTGACACACATGTGTGTAACTACAAGACAGGTCAAAACAATAAAAGCTATATTCCAACTCTATATAGCTTCCTAATTGCAGGTGTTGGCTAATGGACCAAGAAACTTTGTTAATAAAAGATTCTAATTATGACATGTCATGTAATCAAGAAAAATGTAGTATCTGGGAAAACCATTACCTTATATAGTTTATTGCGCAGTAATTCAACATTCAGTTCGTCTAGAGTATTTTCAGACATACAGTCTTGAAAGAATGGAGCTAAAAGCAAAAATTATCAAACAAAGTGAATGAATAAAAGGCAAGGTTATAAACTTCAGAGAATGTTTCCTGAATTTACCACCCTCTGCTGACTCCTAATGAGGACACTGCGGAGTTGCAATCCACAGACTTGACACAGCTAACAGCAGTTGGGATGATAGGACTGATTCCTTAATAAGCATTTACTATGTGTGAGCCCTAAACATCTATTGCTATGTTGAACACATTTCTACTTACTCAGTCTTCATAACACCTTGGAACTATTAGCTTAAAGCTTACTTTTTGAAATCCCTCCTAAATCCTCAGTAAATGTTACCTACTAGTAATATTTACCTTTTGTAACCTAACTTATACCAGTCATTGAGTTGTGTTAAGACTATGTTTTATTTTGTTTTCCAAACCCGTCTATAATCAGATATGATTGCTTTTAAAATGAGGAAATTGGGGTGAATTGAATTACCCCAGGTCACCTTGCTGGGAGAAGGTACAGCTGTTGGGAGAAGGTCACGGGTGTCTGATTCCAGGCTCACACTCTTTTCACCGGGCTGTGCTGCCTCAGCCTCAGATACTAATGGATGACACACATATTACTTTTGTCTTTTAAAAATTTCTGTTTTAGTGCCAGGGATTTAGCTCAGTGGTTCTTCTGCCTGCTTAGCAAGCGCAAGGTTCCGAGTTTGATCCCCGGTACCAAAAAAAAAAATTTCTGTTTTAAATAGCTACTATTTTGGCTGGGGATGTCAGTGAGAGCATTCTCATCACATGTGTGATCCTCATGGACACCCCCCAAATTAAAACAAAGTGCAAATATTTTGTCAAATGATCAATAGTGGATTACTACTATCCTAATTTTCTGACAATAATAGATAAAAAAATGCCTATGAAATTATCCCTTTAACATTTTAAGCAATCCAGTGTTTGTCAGTGTCAAATTATAATGAAATTGACATTCATTCCATCATCACTTCAGATCATTTGACAAAATATCTCAGAAAAATAACATCTTCAAGCTTCCTAAAACAAAATGCTTCCCAGGTTGTCTTTATGTAGACCTTAGTTTAAAATGAAAAATGAAGAATTATCATAAAACTCAGCTAGAAGACTAATACTTTGAGCAACGATATGTTCTGTTATTTACGTGCTATGGGGTAGTAGAAGGTACGAGGGTTTGACGGTGAGGAGGTGAGCTCCGGCTCCTCTTCTGCTACAAATGGTTTGCATGTGACCCTGAGCAGGTTATTTCACTTTATTGATCTGAAAAATGAGGGAGCAAGACTAGATGATTCTTTAATGTCCCTTGTACAGCTAAGAATTCGCATGACATGAAACTGCATATGTGGAAAACAGTTGTGAACAGCAAATACATTTTCTAATGACTGTGATAACATACACAGGCAGCTATGTACTTATGTATTCATACCTAATGGAGTTTCAACCAGAACTGCGTTGAAGAGATCTGAAATGGTCTCTGCGATGTTGACTGCTTCCATTTCTGTAAAACTGCCCAGTGGGTGGCACTTTGCCAGAATTTCTTTCACGGATTTTTTTTGTAATGCACCATTCATCAGTAAAATCACATTGTCTATCATGTAACTGCACCTGGTTTGGAAGAAGACTTGGTCATTAGGAAAATAATCACACAAAGACAAGAAATATCGCACAAGTAAGAAATCACCATTCAGGCACACAAACACTTTTGTTTAAAAAAAAAAAAAAGAGTATCTTTTACTTTTAACTCTGCAGTTTAGGAGCTGTGGATGGGGAAGAATATTCCAGAAGATGCTCTACTTTGAAAGATCACATTCAACTAAGTAAAGTTAAATACAACTTTGGTTGGTGGAAAAATGCAGAAGATGGTCCCTATATAGCAATCATCAAATGTGATGAATGTGAAATTATTTGGTTAATCAGAATGAATTATAGTCTTGAAAAGTTAAGAAACAGGGCACTTGACTCTGCTTTAAAAAACAAGTATTTGAATGTACAATGCAGCCTACCCTTCTCCCACAAGACCAACAGTGAATGTTCTAGCCTACTCACTCCCATGCTACCTGGAGTCCACAAGATCACACATTACACAGTTTCTTTACTCGGCCTAAGTTCTGACTGGGATAGTCGGCTTGTGTGTGCTTGTTCAGTCATGCTTTCAGTACTTGGGATGTTCTAAGAATTGAAAGGGAGAAGGAGAGGAGATCTAGTCCCTTCCTTCACAGAGAATACAGTTCAAAGGAGGGACTGGACAGAGAATCACTTACAACCAGCTATATATGAAGCACATGTGCTAGGCAAAAGAAATTTTAGGTAGGTGTGGCTATTTGTTGCTGGTCCTAAACCAATCCAGGAATCAGACTTCCCAGGGAAGTGACACCCAATTTGAAGCTTGAAGAATGAGTGGGAGCTGTTCAGACACAAGGGGCCAAGAACTGGGGGAAGGGGTGTTTTAAGCCAGAAGCAAAAACATTTGAAAAGCCCTAGAGAGGACCACACAAGGATATTCTGTTGTTTCTTTTGCCTGGGATGGAGCACTTGAGGTGGGGTTGACACTGGGTATGCTGGGTCCTTCGTGAAGACCAGATGAGGAATTTGGATGCTAAGTGCAATGGAGGAGGATGTTGAATGCTTTTAAACTGATGGGAGTAATATATAAAGTATTAAAACAGTGGAAGATGTAAACAAACATAGATGAAGTGCTTCACAAAGTTCTTTGATCTCAATTAGAACCCTGTAAGGTAGATACTATTGTTATCTCTGCTTTACAAATAAAGAATTCAAGGCCCAGAGAGATGCAAATGTAGCCCATGATCATTCAGAGCTGTCAAATGTGACTGCTGAGAATCAAACCCAGGTACTTAGCCTATGGAATCCTACTCTAAACCATCCTATCATGCTACTTTTAGTTGTGAAAGTGGAGGCATAGGTTTCTAGGTTGAACAGTTAGGTTGGTGGCTCTTGACTGAGAGGAAGATGTTGCGGGAAGACAGGGTGCTAAGAGGCCTTGGAAGTCCGAGTCCTGAAGACAGGCACAGATAAGAGGCATTTGGAGGGCAAGAAGGGGTATTTTAAAAGTGGAAGCTGAAATCTTGGGAATAATTAGTATTGTATCCCAGAGGTCACATTAGCATTCTTTCCTGAGATTTTGGGGAAGCCTAGCACTTAAACATTTTTTTATTAGTACATGTTTTCAGTACTTGTCTCAGTTTTCATTGTTTACATTCTTGTGTGGAGTTGATACCTGCACATAATGTATCTTCATTGCTTTTTTCATCCCTTTTCTTTCTCCTCCCCCCATCGCTTGATCCCCTCCCTTTCTGTTTGAGAAAGTTCTTTCTCCCTATTTTCTATTACCTATCTTTTATTGTCCTCTTTATTTATAATGTGGGTTTCCCCTCTAAGAGAAATCATGCCATATTTAAGCTTGTGTGTCTGATTTATTTCCTTTCACATTATGGTCTGCATCCATTTTCATCCATTTTCCTACAAATGACTCAAGTTTATCTTTCTTTGTAGCAGAGTAGTACTTCATGTTGTGTGAATACCACAATTTCTTTACTATTCATCTGTTGATGGGCTGCTTCTAACATTTAGCTATTATAAATTGTGCTGCTATAAACATGGGTGTGCATGCATCACTGTAATATGATGTCTTTAATCTTTTGGGAAGATACCTAGAAGAGCAATAGCTGAGTCAAATGGAATTTCTAGTTTTAGGGTTTTGAGGAATCTCCACACTGATCTCCATCATGGTTCTACTAGTTTACATTCCAACCAACAATGTAGAGGGTTGTTTTTTTCCCTTATAGACTCTCCCAGCATTTTAGGACTCTGAAGAAAATTGAGAGGAATAACCAGATGGGAGGATAAAAACACAGGCAGTGAATTCTAGAAAGAATTCATTTCTTCCAGAAAGAAGTGGTAAAGTGTCAAAGGTCATAGGTACATCAAGGTAAATGCTGATGTAAACATAGGAATTAGCAAATAAGAGGTCATCTGAGAACACAGTGAAAACACTTTCAGTGGAGTATTTTTGGGGGAGCAAAAGAGAAGGAAGGCAGAAGCCTGAGCACTGTGTGTTTAAAATGAACTGGATGTAAGGAGGTCAAAGAAAGTTCATGTCATAATTTGGCCTTCAAGTAAGAGGAAAATAGCTATGCAGAAATACAAGGCCAAAAGGAACTTTTGGTTTTGAGTTTTAGTATTTGTTCAAAGTGGGAGAGAAATGAAGATGCTTAAGTGGAGGGGTGAGAGGCAGTAGAAAAGGAGAAGCTGTGGATTGGGAAAGGGAGGGGGCAGCCCACTGATGAACTGAGGTGCTCTAGGATTGATAATAGCGGGAAACTGAACCCCTGCACAAGACAGCTAAAAAATTACATCCTGCACTGGATAAAAACCAACCTGGACACCAAGAAGAACTGTCATCAGAGTCGGCCATGCAGGCTACAGTCTTGCGCTAGAATTCATTTTTGGGTGGAAAAGCGAGGCTTCTTCACTGTAGAACTTCTACAGTATATTCCAGTAAAATTTCTAACTAGAGAAGTTTTGGAAGCAGGCAATTATACCTTTATAAAAAGCACATGACTATAAAGTTTCTTCACCTCCCCAACAGCAGTACCAAATTTAGACATGATGAAATTTCAGAATCCTTTTTATCTCTTGAAAATGATATTAAAATGGAAGTGCTTATTTAACTGTCCCTATATGGCTCAAAAGCAATTACCTGAACAGGGAATTGCCAGTACTTAATAATCCTTAGCTGGCTCTAGATATTTAATTTTCCCCAGAGCACCCCTGTAATGTAAAAGCATATGAGCTGCTAACATTCCCAATTTGTAGAAGAGTAGTAGATCGGTGTTGATGGGCAGCCAATACCAGTGCTGTGAGTAGAGTTTTGCACACATACATAACATGCAAACTTATGCCCACGGTGTGTGTATAGTGGTGCTTCAGTCCATGAACTCAATTCTTTTCATGATTCTGGTCACAAGCGGAGTTGGACAAGAACTGAATCAAATTCAATGACTAGTTTCTCATCCAGTTTGTTTTGTGAACAGGATCATGGAGAGAATTGAGTTCTTCAACTGAGGTATCACTGTATTCAGTATGCTTATTTTTTTTATTAATAGGCTAGGCCTCGTATTGCAAATAACAAGAGCTTTTTATAGATGGGGTTCAGTTTTATTTCTTTATTTGAATGACCTCTTTTCTAAAATGGAACAATAACACTAGTTCTTAAAGTGTGACTTAGGAAATAAAGAGAGAACCCAGGGCTTGGCTCACTCTGGGGGCCGGGGTGTCTCTTTCCTCCCCTGCTCTCTCCCTATCACACATGTGCCCCAGTATATGATTATCAGGGACTGTTGGGGTAGGGAGATAACATGCCCATAATAAGTTTACTTTCTCCAGATTGTAATCTTTATAGACCTCCAGGGCCATGCATATGATGGTGAGGAATGAAATGATTGTTGATGCTGCCCGGGTAATGTTTGAGCTTCACAACACCTGGTTATTCACCTAGCTCAAACTCCTTATGTTTTAGATAATTGTGTCCATAGCTAGTGGCAGATCCAGGATAAGTGCCTATTTGGTCAGGCTAATTTTTCTCCTAGCCAGAGTCTTATAAATATCCTTAATTTTAGCTCTTTCTAGGTAATTTATTCTGTAACTCTGACATTGGCATCTGTGAAAATCATGAAGTCACTTGAAACTGTGATCGAATTAATAATCACAGAATGTTAGGTTGTAAAAATATAGCTTTAAAATACTTAATTCTTTACAGGCTTTTACTATGTGACAGGCATTATATGTGTATTTTCACTCAACTCCAGGCAATTCAATGCCATAAGAACCATTATTATGATTACTTCAAGCATAAGGGAAGGGAGGTGTGGTGGTATGGAATACTTCACCTCAGATCACACTGCTGTAACCGGCTGGTAACTTGCCGCCACCAGTGTCTACCTGCCTCTCTCTCAAGCCTCACTCTTAAGTGTCCACCACTTCCCCAGAATGTGTAAAGAGCTGGGTAGCACTGAGGGTAGGGATGAATGTTAAATAATCCTTTTCCCAAAGCCAAAATTCACATTCCCTTATTGGGTTCAGACATAAAAGCCCACGGCAGACAGCATTTTAATATTTCCCTCTGGTTATTTCTTGCTAACTTTTTAAATGACAATGAAGATAACTATATTTTCCGTATGATAATGACCAAATTCTATGCAGCCACCATTTGCTGAATTAAAGGAACTTTCTTCAGTGAATAAAAAATTTAGTACTTTAATGTCATTAGCAATAGCTGAGAAATGACGGTCATTGGCTAAGTAATCTGGCATGAGAGAAAAAGACGTAGACTTTCCAAGAAAAACACAGTTCAGTGAAAATCTCCAGGGTGCTATGGCACAGGAAGACTTTCAGTAGTCCATGGCTTGTCTAGTGTCCTAAAGTTTTCCATACCTCAGAGCTATACATCACAGAATGGTTTAGGGAGAAAGGTGGGGAAAGGACAGTAGGGAACAGGGAGGAGGAAGGGAATGCAGCATGATGCCCTGACCCCAAGTAGTCTTAGGTAGTTTTGGAACATATGCATACAGGCATTCAGGATACGG